GTAAGCGGATCTAATATGACGATGCTCCTCGGCCTCTTGCTAAGTTTGTGGTCCGCCACGACACCCCTTCGAGTCGGTTTTAATCCGGCTGCGTCAGATGTCTCGCGTATTAAACATGTAGCCTCATGAAAATACCGAAGACTTGAGAAAAACAGTCTCCGTCGATAGCGTACGACATTTAATTTGCAGTCTTACCCGGTCTGCAAAATTTTGTATACCAAGATCTTTCTCTATACCTGCTTTTTGGAGAAAAATTTGTTCAGATAGTAAGATCAGATATGAGGGACTGGAGCTCGATTTTTTAGACGCAACAGAGTGCATTTGCTTTAGTTGCAGTACAGCAGCCATCTGTTGGACGACTCGTGTAATCGCCGAAGAGTTTTTTGGAAGTCGGCTTCGGTAGCACCGCTCATGATCTTCCATATTTTTATGTCATCCACAAAGATAAAAACATCCACAGTCCAATTTCTGTAGACAATCAGGAGAAATGGCGTCAGTCCAAACACTGAACACTGTCTATAGCTGCGCATCATAGACCAGCAAACACAATTCCCGCAGCCTCGAATATGTTGAAGGCCTTGATCTAAGACAGGATGATGCGTTGCCTAACAGAGGACAACCTACTAAATGCGACTCAGCATAGGGTCTTCTGAAAAAGATCATGTGACACCTGCCAGTTCCCTTCCTCTGAGCATGTGCCACAATCTAGAGACAGCAGTTTTGAACTTCACACTGCCTATTTTGGTTTAACTAAGGCTTTTTTATCGTATTAACCATGACCTCCTCCTTCTTGTCCTCCTGAAACTTGCCTCTTTCGGTAAAGGTAACAAGCTCCTGAATTTAATATCCTCCTTTTTGGATGCTCACACACAAAGAATTGAAATTTCCAGTGTTATCTCCAACAACACACAGGTGCGCGGCGGGGTTATCCAGGGTAGCATGTCTGGCCCGTTCTTCTTTTGCCTTTTTGTCAACGATGTGCCTGGTTGTTTTTAATATGGTAGGCCCTTTGTGAACGCTGACGATTTAAAAGTTGCCTATCGATATAAACGG